TAGTTCACTGGGCAGCATTTTGAGAAATATTTTATTCCCCCAAAAAAATCATGTAAGTGGTCTCTTCAATAACTTCAAAACGATGATCATAGCAGAAAATAGTTAACTTTAAAAAGTTATTCCACATAAAATGACACAGAATACAAATAACAGATTTTACTTTGAAATGTAAATATAAACTAGAATAATCTTGATTACAGAGAGACAAAATCATAAGCCTCCATAAAGGAAATTCTTTGGTTAAAAATAGCCAAATTGCTTTTCTCTCATACTTTCCTAAAAACATGAAATCTATTTTTTTGCAATCTATTTTTTAAAGTATTTGGATTCCAAGTAAAGAACTTCACTTTTTTCTCTTTAAATAGAAACAACTAAAGCAAACCTCACTTAATAATGTCACCCTGACTTATACCAAGCATTGGCTAGGTGCTAAGTCCTTCCTCAGTATCAATTTTGCACCTCTTTTTGGATAATTGCTTCCTCTTAAGGAAGTATGTTTCTTTCCAAACCACAGAATGAAATACATCATTTTAATATACTTATCTTTGCCTGAGACCATAACCTCATTCCATTAAGCAAAGGAACATTTCCAATCAGCTGGTCACAAGTAAATTTCATTTCTTACCATGGATTTCATTGTTTCTTTTTAAGGACAGGTTTGCTCTCTGTGGTGTTAATTAGGTGAGTAAATTAGATATGTATATACATTTTCTCCTACAAAACTAACTGGAAATAAGCTTTTTCTCAGGATTGAAAAAGTGAATAAATAGTCCTATAAACAAATTTTCACAACAGAGGAATTTATAGCTATTCTGTGTTTTCATGGAATCCATTTGGTAGATGATTCTATGGTTTATTTGTTTAAGTATCTGTTTAAATTAATCAGGTCTTTGAGGCCTCCAATCAAGGAACAACTCCTCCTCCTCCTCCTCCTCCCTCTAACATATTTCCAAACCCCCACTCTGCTGACTCTGCCAGGGACTGTGTCTTCTCCTCCAGACACCCTGCAGTTTCCCGTTTGTAATAGTTCCTCCACTTGTAACAACTCCTCCTCTTGTAATTGTTTGCTCAACGTCCATCTTCCCCACTGCACTTCCCCACCCCAAGAGGACAGGAACTGTCCTTGCCATTCACCACTGTGTCCCCGGTGTCTGTCTCATGCCAGCCATGTAATACGTGCTCAATAAACATTTGTTGAATGAACTAATAAGTTCTTAACCTCAGATTCACATTTCTAAGCTTAATCTACTCAACTTGGTTAAATACAGAATACAGAATAATTGGATTCTTCCGATTAAAATGGAGTTGGGTAGATTTACTTTACAAATATAGTACAGTGACCTTCAGGGTAAGTCTTCTTCACATATCTAGTAGAGGTGAGGATGTAGACTACCCCTAGGTTAATCTGACCTTGTCTTACCGGAATCATCTGATGCACACAATCATTCAGGCCATTCAGTCAAACAGGTATTTATGGAGCTACTACTGTATTAGTCTCCTAGGGCTACTAGAATGAATTACTGTACACTTGGTGGCTTAAAACAACAAAAATTTGTTCTCTCACAGTTGTGGAGGCCAGAAGCACACTCTCTCTTAAGGCTGTAGGACAGAATCCTTCCTTGCCCCTTCCAGCTTCTGATGGCTCCAGGCGTTCCTTGTGGCTACATCACTCCAGTCTCTGCCTCTGTCTTCACACGGCCTTCTGCTCTTTGTCTTCTCTCCTTCTGTCTCTTAAAAAGACACTCGTCATTGGATTTGGGCCCACCTGGTTAATCCAGGATGAATGAGATCCTAACTTAATTACACCTACAAATTCCTTTTTTTGTTTTGTGGGTGAGGGGAGAGGGTGGAGAGGATGTCATCATTTAACTCATTACAGATACTATAGTGAATAAAGTCCCTGCCCTCATGGAATTTGCAGTCTAATCAAAAGACGGATTACCAAAGAAGTAACTTCAATAAAACATGATAGAAGTTTATAGGTAGTAGTAGTACAAGTGTCTAGGGGAACGTATGTCTGGGGACCTAACCAAATCTAGAAAACCAGGAAAAAGCTTCCCGAATGATGTGATGTTCATGTAGGAGGATTGAATAGGAATTGACCATGAGAGAGAGTTTGGTGCATTGAAGGAACTGAAGAAATTCAGCATGGTTAGAGAATGGTAACAGATGAATCTGGAGACATACGCTAGAGCCATTTGTAGAGAGTCTTGTTGACAGAGTTACGGGTTTAGAGTTTAGCTCTGTGAATGACCAACAGGAATGTGATAAGAAGGCAGGAGTTATCCCTGTCAGGACCAAGGGCTGCAGCACAGGTCCTGAGCGTTCCTCCTATTTCCACATGGCAAATCTTGTGCTTCCCAATATTTGGTTGTAGCCTTTATGGATAACACAATATCATAGTAAAGTTGCTCTGAAAGGTTGTGATAAGGATGTTTGTTTCAGCATTCTCAGACATGAAACCAAAGTCGGGCAAGGCTGTGATTGTTCCAGGATGCACAAAAGAACTGGGTCTAGCCAGTTGTTCTGTTAGTGAAAATGGTGGCGGAGAATACTGGCAGTGGTGTGGGCCTGGAGCCTGACACATCAGGCTGGACTGCCAGCTCTCCTGTGTACACGAGGTGGGACCTTAAGGCAAGTAGTGCAACCGCTTAAGCTAGGAACAATAATAGTACCTACCTATTGATACTATGGTGCTGATAAACTTGGTGATGAATTTGAAGCACTAAGCAGTGCTGGAGGATAGTTTACTATTAAATAAATAGTGACTGATGATGATGATAATAAGGAGGGGGTTCATAATGTTTTCATAATCATCCTAGTCCCATCACTCACAGCATTTTACTCCCAATATAATAGTGCATCACATTATACACTCTTATTTTCAAATGCCTTATATATTTATATTTATTATCCTCCACAGAGGACCGTTTAGGATTCCTAGTACAGAGGTTTAAGAAACAATTACACAGGAATGTGCATTTTTCAAGGTGTCACAACTTAATATTTTGTTATCCAATTAAGATTTTAATTGAAGCAAAATTCATAAATATGTAATCATAGTGTGAAAAAGATATATTAGTTAAACTGGCAATTTACTAAGCAATTATTTAAGTCAAACAACACAATTTTCTGTAACAAGGTAATCTGATTTTCAGAAGACACCCAACTTCATAATCTTCTCCTCCATCTGAATTTGAATACATAGTCTTGATAAATTATTTGCAACCTGGCTACTGTGAAAATATATGCTCCAGTTTTAAAACTCTTAAACTATATGATATATTTTACAAATACAGCAGTGGCTAAGTAAACAGTGTTTTCTTTGTAAATGCTATCTTCTTTATCTTCAAAAGGCAAATGTTTTCTATAACATCTCTTCCTTACAATTTGTTATTCAATAATTTTCAATGAGAAAATGTGACATTTTAGAGCACACATTAATTCCCATGATATCAGTGCTATTTTGAAGATTAGGAAATTTGGTGAAGACCTAATAAAAAATCTTCGGTACAAGATTTATTGGATAAGATGTCTCTTATCCAATATCTTAACTTGTCTCTGCACAGATTATGAGCTAAACCTCAGCATTGAAATAGATGGCCTGAAAATATCTTGATTAAATCATAGTGACTAAAATCTACCTCCAAAGTTTAATAAATTTCTCAGTGAAAACTGAACATAAATAACTTTTTGTTTTTATTTACATTTAGATTTCTTAAAAAGCCTCTTTACTGCTGTGACTGGTCTCTTTCTGAGTCAACAACAGCATTTTGGGTTCAGATATTCTCCAGTAGATATGTCATTTTTATGAGGAAGTTATTACTCAGGATATAAATTTGCACATAGTATACTGCATACTTGATTCCCAGAAAAAGATCTACTTCTGTGGAAGCCTTAAAGTTCTCAAGTTTAATAAATTATTGTGGTAGAGAATTAAGTGATTTGCTTTTCAGTATATTCTTTCTTAGATTCAGTTTGCTGCTTACAACTGATTAGATTAATACATATTATTTTTATAGTAATCAAAATAAAACTCAAGCTTTACTCAATTTAAGGGATATTAAGGGACTGATTGATTTAATATTTTATAATATTGATGATTATTCACTGTGAGTTATAGCATAGGACGGAAAAATAAAAATCTAGAAGCCTGGATTTTGGTGATAGTCTGTATGAGCTTGAGCAGTTGTTGAACCTCTCTTCAGTTTCTTTACCTCTGTATTAAGCAATTGCTTGTATCCCATTGATAAAAATTATATCTGATTAAAACTTCAGTAATATAGAGAATGAGAAATGCTAATGAATTAATTGAACTAATGTATTTTTAAAGATTCCTAAAAGGTTAGTGAAACATGCAGCCAATGTGGTTTTAAAAAACAGTTTATCAACGAGAGAAGTAATATATTGTTACTATATGTTATCTAGTCTTTTCTTCAAAAAAGGAAGCTTTTAACTATCATTTTTTAATTACTGCCACTCAGCCATGTAAGCACCTAGTATGTATACCCTTGTGCTGTGGAGATGGGAATTTATAATTTTAATGTGTGAATTAAGCTTTATGAAATATGAAGAAAGTCATTCTTAAAAGAAATTATACAATAGTCTTTCCACTTTGTGAAAACAGACACCAAAAGTGTGTGTAAAGCCTGGTCTGAGGGGCTAAGTGTTTAAGGAAATAAATTAGCAGTTAGATTAACAAAATCCTTTAGTTCATCTGCTGACTTAATTTTGCAATACATGCTTAATCTTAAAGCATGGGTTACTAAGAATCCATCTAGTTTATTGGTATTTTTGTAGCAAACAAGAAAGGGTTATATGCTGTGCATTATGACCTCAACTCTTCTTATTTTGGGTTTGCATCCAATGTGCCAAATAGAGGGCATGTACAGTGTGTTCTTTTGGTATCCATTACCATATTTTCAATCAGATACTAAGTTGTAAAATAAGTTTGGTTGTGAATATCACCCAGGGAAATTTTCACATTGTGTCTGTTTCAGCTTCTGACATGGCGGCAGAGCAGGGGCAGATTCTCGTGATAGCCACCGCGGCTGTGGGGGGATTCACGCTCCTCGTCATTCTGACTTTGTTCTTCCTGATCACCGGGAGGTAACTGAAGTGTGCCCGATTATTGCCAAGATTTGTGAACAGCCGTTCTTTTATACACTCTGTATTCAAATACTTTTACGTGTAACACAGCACACCTGAGAGAGAAAGGACCAGGCAGGTTCTGCTCTGACAGTGAACCTCGTATGGCAGCAGAACCTCCGTGGCTACTTCTCTGGGCCACGGAGTATGGCTGACTATGAGGCGACCAAAGACTGGATCAAAACACTTGGAAAGCGATGTATGATAAATTCCTACTGAATAAGTTACTGTTGAGTTTTCCCTTTACTACAATCAAATCACACCACGAAAGGGATTTTTCTTGGGAAAAAAATAATTCAATAGAGAGACTTAACAATTTATATTAAAGTTCTTTATAAAGTTAGTGTTATAGAAATGTGTTATTTTTATTCATTAAATTTTGAAAGCATCTATATTAGAATTCTCTTAATTGGTTTTATAAATCCAGTATTTCTCTACTTTAGAGTAATATGGATGAAAATTTAGAGGAGCAATAAATTTAACACAGCAAGAGACCTAGACCTGAATCCTGAGCAGCTGGTCCAAATGCTCCACCAAGTGCTCCATCAAACCTTAGACTTCTGTATTTATGCAGGTTTGGTATGACAATGCATTAAAGCAATTTACTGATTTTTAATATATTGGATTGTTACCATGAGCCAGGTACTGACTATATAGAGAGATGTGAATGAGGATAGTATGTATGAAATTATTTAAAAGAATAAGTGTTATTTCTTATTTAACCCTTGATATTTGGCCTAGACTTTTGTCGGAAATCATGAATATCTTCAGATCGTATTTTTTATTCCTGCAAGGGGAAAAAATATTCCTCCTAGATTATCAGTAGGGGCACAAAAGAATACCATGAGAGTTTTCTTGATAATCTGAAACACATACTTGCAGCAAAATACCAGTGTATTGATTTAAAACTGCAGTGAGAATGCCAGCCAAACAAGGCACCTCCATGCTGACTCCCGTAAGTACAGCATCCCTACTGGTAACCCTGATATTCAATAATGAGCGGAGATAACAAACAGCTACCTTCAGAGGCAGTAGTTCAGTGACCTATAACACCCTTTGTTTTATTTATTTTAAAACTCTATTTACATACCAATATTTTATTAAAATTCATTACAAAATGACAGAGGACATGCATATATGAAAAATTATTTACAATTTTGACAGCAGACTAAATGTATAGATCAATAAAGTGACAAGTCATTGGAAGGCACGTATCAAGTGCCGGTCCCTAACAAAATGTAACGGCTACCTGTTAAGCATGTATCAGATTTAATTGTAACAAATGCACTTTTACAGAACTTACTAAGGATCAAAGAAACCCGTGGATATCCTAGTATGGTCAAGTTGAAATGGTGACTTCTTCATGAAATTAACTGTAGAAGGAGCACATTTACTGCTATGTTTACTTAGAATTTCCACATATGTAAACAGACATAGTATTACCCTTGTAATTAATAGAGTGTCTCAGAGTCTGCTGTTTGGGAGGCTGATTAGCTAATAGAAGAATGCTAGCTACAGTAATAAGAAAAAAAACAGATATTAAAGAATGCAGGAAATAATGATAAATTCATCCTAATAAAAAGTGTGTGTTTGGGCATACTGTGGCACCACCATCAGCTAAGGTTGCTGGCACTCTCCTCTCTCTCTCCCTTTACGCCTCGAGCTAACCTCTGACAGTTCTTTGCCATCCTCACAGCTTTGAGACAACCATCTTTTATAGTGGACAGAAAACAAATTCTGGAGACTCTAACCCAACTAACCAATAAGTTGACAACAAAGTATTCAATGCTGTGGCCTACGAATACCAAACATGACCTACATAAACCTTGATCACTAGCAGGGACAACTAGTTATAAAAAACAAACAAACAAAACTCTGTACCTGGGGGAGGTCTAAGTTTGCTAAAAAAAAAAAAAAAAAAGGTTGAAGTTCTTCTAACCCTATTAGTACTATCTTGCAAGACAAAGGATTGGAAGACGATGATGGCTAGGAAAGGGAGAAAAAGAAAATCTCAGTGGAGGGTTAAAGGTACAAGTCTAGAAAAAGGAAGGAAAGAAGGGAGTAAAAGTATTGGGTGCATGTTAAGTCACAATGACAATTTGGTTAGGTTAAAAAAAGTCAAAATGCCAACACTTCATGGGTTGCAACATGGTTAGCAATGCTTTTTAGAAAAATATTAAGCAAAAGAATAAACTCTACTATATATTCATTGCCATTTCTCACGTAAGTGCTGCCCATGCGTTGTGCATCTGGGGCACTGATGTCTGCATAACACTCTATCATAGAGTTGCACGAAATTTAAAGACAATCAGTTTGGAGCCCAGATGGTTATTCAGTTATTCAAGTACGATGAGCTCCTATAAGCTGATCTTAACTCCAAAGTCACAAATGATATCCTGTGAACTAGACCTTGATCATTAGATAGGATGGTTAATTTGATTCAGAAAGGTTCTTATTTTCTTATTTGAAAGTTCCCTTGAAAGAGTTTGTGGTACTTTCTTAGGTATGATTTTCTTTAAATAGCAGTCATATTTATCTCCAATTTTAAAAAATGCCTGTAACTTCATAATGGAAATTGATTTAAATGATATTTTATTTTAGTGATTCAATATAGAGAAAAATGGAGCAATATAGAGTACATATACATGTGGAAAAGCATTTCTTTAAAATAGAAAATATTGCCTTAACACATAAATATGACAAACTTAAATGAAGACATTACAGTCATTGCAGGCTAAATAAGTTTGGCCTAATAAACTTGAGAGATGGGCTCAAATGTTGTCTTTACTTGGGATTCCTGAAGCAGAATTTGAATATCACTTAAAAAGAGAATTTAATGGTGAAGAAAAATTTATACTAAATTATTTTCAGCTTTCAATTTCCATGTTTGCCAATTTATATGACATCAGAAACTGCTTTAACATTCTACACACTGGAGAAAACAATTTCAATTATATAAGATAAAAAACCATTCATTTTGAAATATTCCTTCAGCATTTTGGTAGGGGAGCATTCATTGGAAATTATTCTATGAAAACTGTAAAACATTTCTGAATAAATACGCAATTGGCCATAGGATTTGAGGCAAAATTCACGTTGGAAGATTGGATTGAGTACCACAGACATATTCTATTTAACTATTTGTAATTAGCAATTTGATGGGCTGTCAAATCATATGGATGTGGATGAATTTATTCATGTTGAAGAAGTCATGGGCGATAAGCACCTGCCTCTGTTCTTTGGAACACAGTTATCCCAAGAAGAGGACAGAACATGCCTCTACCAAATTTCTGATATTGAAAAAAAATCATGCTGTTTAGCACTGAAACTGACAGTTGTCTAAATTTCTGAGACTCTAACTCAAAAATGTTTTTCATTTTTGGCTTTTAATGCTTTTCACCAATTCTAGCTAATAGAAGTCATAGAAGGAAGGACATGATGATTATTGCTGATTATAAAATATTTTCTCCGATTGCTATCATTTGGATCAAACAATCCACTTGAGAGTATTTTATTGTTATCTGGGGCTAATTTTGATTATACAAAAACCCTTGTATGGAGTATTTTCACATGTTATAAATGTGTTTTTAAAAGTGGTCTTTATGATAAGAACTTTGCCCATAGGTCTATGTGTTTTAATTGATTTTCGTTCTTATCCAACATAATTCTTAAAGTAAGATTCTGTTTTCCTTCTTAAAAGATGCCAATGGTACATAAAGGCCAAAATGAAGTCAGAGGAGAAGAGAAGAAACCACTTACAGGATGGGCATCGTAAGTAGTACAGTGACTCCCTTCCACTATTTTTTTGAGTTTTTGATTTTTTGATTTTTTTGTGAGGAAGATCAGCCCTGAGCTAACATCCGATGCCAATCCTCCTCTTTTTGCTGAGGAAGATTGGCCCTGGGCTAACATCATGCCCATCTTCCTCTACTTTATATGGGATGCCGCCACAGCACAGCTTGACAAGCAGTGTGTCGGTCCGTGCCCTGGATCCGAACCTGAGAACCCTGGGCCACCGAAGCGGAGCTGTGAACCTAACTGCTACGCCACAGGGCCAGCCCCTCCCTTCCATTATTTTATACTGTTCCAGGACTTCAAGAGTTCCTTTTAAACTTGTGTCCACTGAGTTGAGAAAGCCAAAAAAAATTCACTTCCAACCTTTCAGCATTAAGACTTTTCATTTGGTTTCCAGGTTTGTAGGTGGAAATTGCACCTGCTTCTCATTAAATGATATTACCTTTTTCCTAATTCTGCTTGCTAGAAAACATGACAGACTGAATATGCTAAAAATACAAGATGACTGATCATATCTTGTTATTTACCTCTCACAATGGCTCCACACATGAGTTGGTTTTATTCAGTGGAGCATTAGCCATAGAAATATTAAGGAATCCTTATTCCTTCTTGTGGGGACTGTCATTTAAACATATAACAAATCAATTTACAATTCATTAACACTGGAAAAGAAAATCAGCTCTTTAACTCTTAGAATATGTATGAAATCCCTGACTACAAGGTTATGTTCATTTGAAGAATCTCTTCCCAAGCAAGCTATAATTACCACTATAGTTGATTTGATAATTGCCACCCTCTCCTCCCCAACACCCACCTCCACCTCCACCTCCAAATGGCAAACTACTTTGTTGAGACAGTTTCTCTGTCCTGAGACGCCGAATTAACAAGAAAGGGATGTTCCCGAATTAACCGCAGCAGAGAGATAATATGTGAGGGAAGTGGTTTAACTACTTAAACTCATCTTCTACTTCAAATTGAGAAAAGGAATAAGGGACTTTTCAATCTACATCACCCTCCAGCGGAGGGAAAGAATTTAAGTGAGATTATAAACTAGAAGGAGGGCCAGGGCTATTTCTAAGGCTCACATGATGTCTCCAAGAGTGGTCCAAGGACCATCTGCATCAGAATGTTGCGCCCTTGCTCACCAGAGTTCTGACTCAGAAGGTCAGAGCAGGGCCAGGACATAAGCATTTTTAAGCTCTCCCAGGTTGTTCTTCTACACAATAAGTTTGAGGCTCGCTGCACTGGCAGAGGAAGGACAGCTGAGACAGCCGATGGCAGGATGGGATGACCTGGAAAAGCCGTAAACAGATGCAGAAACCTGGATCCAGACACCTGGACAGATGACTTATGCTAGGCAACCTTAAGATTCACTGCAGGGCATTTAGTACTGAAAAGCAGAGGAAAAAGATGCTCCTGAGTTATTTATTATCTGTTTTCCAGCTAGCACTTTAGCATAAACTAAACCAGATGAGCCCAGCTAGAAGCAATGAAAATAACCCAAGGCAGCCAAGGAAGTAGAAGCAGGTAACAAACCAGTGTTGAAGAAGGCAGGGATAAGTTAAATAAGGAACCAGGTGTTCAAAACTGGAACTAAGGCTGAGTTGTTTTTCCTATACTATCTATATGTATTTACAAGGAAAGAAAGTGATATTAACTAATCAATTTCTTCTGTAGAAATACATATCACCTTAAATAATTGAGTGGTTGAATTAAGACCATATATGAGTTAATGAATGATACCTGTTATCTGTGCCTAAAGCGATGTTGTCAACGTGACCATGTGCAGTAAGATACAGATTGTCTGTTCTCCTTTCCTCCAGTCTAAACTTAAGGAAGTCAAGAAAAGCATAGCATTTCCGAATCATTGTCAGGTCTAAGTTTACCTAGAAATAGGCTTTACCAGCACTATTTTGAGAAGCACTGATCTTCTCATGGGCATGTGTCCCATCCTAGAACACAGTAGGCAAACAGTAATAAAAGTGGGCAGCAGACAGAGTACTCACGGAGCGATTACTGCTAAAAATGGGCATTTCAGCTCCTCCTCTAAACTGACTTTACTACCTCTTGTTTGTTCACTTTTGAGATTTTCTTGCAAGAGCATGTTTCTAAGGAGAGCTGGCCAACGCTTACCTCGGTATGTTAAATGGCTTTCAAAATCTAAGAAGCAACAAACTGAATATCATCCATATTGCCACAAATTTGCATTGATCTTTTAATTCCTGCAAATTCATATTCAATAAAGGTTTGCTGTGTGCTTATTACCTATAAAACCATACCTAAGGTGTTTGGAAAAATACCAAGATGCATAAGAAATGATCTCCTGTCCTCCAGGAGGTAGCCATCTAACGTGGCAACGAGCAAAACAGAGCACGTCCACAGCAGTCCGTGACTTCTTCAGATACTGAAGAAGTGGCAGATGAATAGGCAACCACACATTCACGTTTTTCAGCTATTCCTATTCATCATTCTAACTGCCTGAGGGCTGTGAGCACTCCACCCCCAACCAAGAAAGAGTAGCAGTTACACAGCTAATGACAGACTTGGGCCTTTGATGCCCACCCTTCCCTCCAGGATAGACAGTGTGTGCTCTCCAGGAACAAGTGCAGTCTGGCCGTGAAAGAGGCTACAGGAACACAGGAAATGGCTATGATCTGTAGTTGTCCTCCCTGTCACTGTGTGGGGTTTGTCCTTTACAGCCAGAGTTTCTGGAAAGGGAGAGACCACAGGACTGGGACGTAAATTGGGGAAAACCTAATGCCTTAAAGTTCGAAGGGTCCAGGAAAGACTCTAGGGGTTTATTCTACGGCTGGAGGGGGGCGTCTTCTGCTCATTTCTCCCATGCCCTCGCCACGCCCTGATCACACGCTGACCACACCCTCACTGTCTTCTGACCACACCCCGACCATGCCCCAACCACGCCCTCATTGTGTCCTGACCACGCCCTGACCACACCCTGACCATACCCTCACTGTGTCCTGACCACACTCTGACCATGCCCTGACCACACCCTCACTGTCTGCTGACCACGCCCTGGCCACACCCTGACCATGCCCTCTCTGTGTCCTGACCATGCCCTGAAGCTAGATCAGACGTGGAATGTTGAGTGGTAGTGGCTAAGTGAGCTGATTGAACTTTTTACAGAAATATAATAAAAATATGTTTTCTGGAACCTGTCAGCTCACTTTCTGTGAAACCACCATTACATTTTACATCAACAGCTAGGTAATAAAATTTTGATTCCAAGTATTCAAAACTTTAATGGAGCAGGGAAGGGGGAGTGGGACGAAAAGAGAAGAGAAAATTGAATTAAGGTAATTAACAGGAAGGACTACTTCAGTGTGTCCACTCCTCGTTTTAAATATTCACAAGATGTGGGATTATTAAAATATTCTCCAACTAATTCAGTCTTTTATTTTGTTATAGTACGCTTCCCAGGAATTAAAACTTACATAGATCCAGATACGTATGAAGACCCGTCCCTTGCAGTCCATGAATTTGCAAAGGAGATTGATCCCTCAAGAATTCGCATTGAGAGAGTCATCGGGGCAGGTAAACAGAAAGTCTACACTTTTGAAGATATGATTCCTTAATGGTTTTGTAACTGGTTTATCAACATAATATTTTAAATCTTAGTTTTCGTCATTGAAAAATTTTAAGAGATGAGAAGTAAAATTATCATATATATGTTATGTTATTTTCTTTAAAAGCATTAAATAATCACCCATATTCAGTTTCCAGTGATAAAAATTCACAAAAGTTATTTTTAACATCCCGTAGTCTTCTTTCATTATGAAGATAAATTATAATGAAACCAGAGTGATTCCGGAAATTATTTTGAAAATGCACCTTCAGGAGTTTGTCATTGATTAGTGTAGATTTACTCAAGCCCCAGAATCTCTAGATATATACTATTAGTATTCATATTGGTGACCTTGAGGCTCTGCAAGACCCAGAAGTGTTCTGAGAATCATTGAGGATAAATTAGGTTCCATATGACTTTATATCATTTTAATGCAAATTAGTAATTTTCCCTATGTAGAATGTTTAAACACGCAGACCACCATATTATTCAACTATTCTGGGTAAATACAAATTTGTTGTGAATCAGCCCCCAAGAATTTGTTCTGCTTTACTTAGGGCAGAGGCTAAGCCAACGTAACAAGGAGACCACAGAGCATCTGCTCCTCTTTCACATCCTTGACCCCAGGTGAGCAGTCCATGCTGGCAGAGGACCTCTCATTCAGGAGGCCTTGAAAGGACCTGAGGTCCTTTGCCTCTGTGCTCTGCCTTCCCCTAGCGTGTCATCCTGCTCTGGATGGTCAAAGCTGGGTCCCCGGCACACCTGCCCAGCCTCTGAGAAGAAGGAAAAAGTTCAGTCTCTTTGGCTTTGTCTTTAAGCCAAAATTAACCTGGAAATTACAAACATGTCTATTCACGTCTCAATGGTCCAAATACAATCACTTGGACACACTTAAATGCGAGAGAGTTTGGAAATATAATCTCTGACCCGGCAGCCATGCATGCAGCTGAAAAGGGGAGAGGGATGGTTTACTAAACAGAGAAGGGAGCCTGGAGTCTGAAGGGGTGTTGGCCTCTAGATGCTGGATACTGTGTAATCCTTTGGAGAGAAGACAACAAGGCAAAGCATGACCATTCCAGCCAGGTAGCCTGTCTTTGTTGAGGCCAAAGAAAGTACCTGATTCTCCTTTGTCCCTTTCAAAGCCTTTCTTCACCAGAAGGACCAGCTACATAATTTGCAGGGACCAGTGCAAAATAGAAGTGTAGAGTCCCTCGTTAAAATGTTATTAAGAATTTCAAGACAGTGACAACAGAGCGTTAAACAGATGCAGGGCCCTCTAACCTCAAGGTTCTGTGTGCCGCCGCCACCACCGCCCATGAAGCTGACTCTCTCTCCCAGGTACACGGAGAACTGGCACTACCTCAAGAATTCCAGCGACATCTGGAGACAGCCCTTCCACCCAGCACTTCATTCCCTACGCACAGTGGATCGTCTCCACTCCTGCCAGGCCAGGTGTCCCTCTGAAAGCTAACACAAGGGCCCTGAACACTTAATCCTAATGCTCATGGGCAAAGAGGCTGTTTTATCAGAAAGAGTAAGAACCTGGAATGAAACCAGGTTCTGTGTCCTCTTCTGCTGAGCATAAAGCACGTCAACAGCATTAAGGCATCATTGAAAGAGTGGTGGCATTATATCCATTTAATCTGGGGGTTCGTTTTGTTAAGACACCAGAGGAATAGAGAAGAGTGGAGGTTGAATAATTCCATTGCCACTGTATTTGACATTCTTCCTCTGGCCCCGAAAAACAGTGAGGCGTCCTCTGATACTGCAGAGTTCAGTACTCATGTAGATACGGCAGAAGCATTTTCTGTCCTAGCCTTTTGTGCATAAATTAAATGCCAATGTCTGAAATCATAATGTTGAGAAATAAAATCAAGTATCTGAAGTGTAAATAAAGAACTTCAATTTTTCTTTAGTTTTGGGGGTTTCTTTAACCAAAATGTAAATTTTGTCCTAAAAAAAATATAACAGATACTGCCAAAGTAAACCATAGGTATTAAGGAGACTATTTTAATATTATATTCCCCTTGCTTTGTCTAAATTCTAGTAAGTTGTAATGGGATTCCTCTCATTTGGCAAAGACAGAATATCTAAATCATGTAGTCAATCTGTACGTCAGTGTCTCATTTTTATATGTATTCATCTTTAACTTTCAACTTTCAAATGATATACTGAGTGTGCTTTTACTGTCTATTTTCAGGAAAATCACAAAAATAAAAATGCTGTATGAGACAAAGCTATTGTAATATAACTTTCAGCTTTGTGCCCTGGCCAGTACTGCTGAGTTATTAGCTCCATTAGGTCAGGTCCCTAAAAGTCTATTTGCATGTGAAAAAAACTAATGAATGTGTGGACATATCCCACAGCAGCAGTGTGGAGAAAGCATTTTTCAGTCAAACTAAAGAATGAAGAGAGTTATGTAGTATCTATGGCATCGTTGCACAACTGGTTACTTGCCCAACTTGTTACTGCAAATACTTTCCTTAGGTTGTCTCATATCCTTTGCCTTTTCCCCACCTATTTGATTGTTTCTTCTCAGACTCCGTTTCCTCACCAGCTGTGTGCTGGAGAAGTGTGAGTTAAATGACTCGGTGGTGCGGATGCTGGACAGAGGAGGGGTGGAGTGAGGGCGGTGGAAGAGAGAGGCCAGCTGTGAGGCCTCCATCGCTGTCAGGTCTGATTAAGGCGTTGAGTCACAATAAAGAGGGGTACTTAAATTCTCGATTCATTGCTGAGGAAAAATCCACAGACCTGCATGTTTTTTGGTGAAGAAATAGTTAAGAGTGCTTTCCAGGTTTCTAGTTGGGAGACACAATATGTAATCATTAAATATTTCTCAAATGTGCTATTAAAAAATGAATCCAAAAATAGCCACATTAAAATTTTAAGAAAAGAACATAGAAAATGATATCACGCCTAACCCAGGAGGTTTTTCAACACGTTCACTGAAAAATGTTTATTAGATGGCTAATATTTACTTGTAAAAAGACACTGTGCTAATTTGTTTTTTCCTATGTCACTATGCTTATCAAAGACATACATATTCAACCTATCTTCCATAACCTTTGTCCGGGGATTTTCAACTTTATAACTATCCAAATATTGCGTGACAAATCCTTAGAAAATTTAATATATCCAATATCTAGGCTGTATATATATTCTTAACATTCCCTATTTTTCACTGTAAATTTTACTGTTTTTTAAGTGAGTATTCTAGGACACTTTTTTTTTTTATATCACTATTCTGTTTAATAGTGGCAGCTTATCTTTGTTCATCAATACTGGCCTGAATTTCCATGAAAATGCACATTTCCATTTAAATGAAGTGAGCAGCTCTCTTGCATAGGAGACTATCAAGATCATGTATCTCCTTTGACTTTTTTGCATCATAAAATGAAACACTGTGGCCAGAGGACTGTAGAACAGAAATTCTCAGGCTAAAAGAGCAAAGTCAGATTAGGGTAGAGTCATTATTTTACATATATCTTGAGAGATAATGAGAAAACTGGTAAACTGCATTTTAATCATGGACTGGGAAAGGTCATTGAAAGGCTACCCTTTTTTCAGGGTGGTGCTGAACTGAAACCATTATCAGAAAAACTTGCCTAGCAGAGAATCTATCAATTTGAAACATTGTTCCATTGAAAAAAATCCTTCTTGTGTCTCTAAGCCCATAGGGCACCTTCTTATCCCTGACCTTCCCTCTTTCCCTAGTCTCAATGGAAATGCACAGCATCTCCGTGTCACTTATATTCTGTCCCTTTATCTATACAAAACTCATTATTGCCTCCACTATTAGCCTGCTCTTCTCTTAGATTAGTGTCACCGTATTTTTTCTCTTCATAGAATAGTCAGGAAATTTTAACTGTTGGTTTCTCAGCAATCATCTGCAAGTAAAAGAAAGTCAGAAGGACCACACAAAGGATATAAAAAGTGAGTGTCAAACCAGCGATGTGTTCAGCCTAATATGTGGCTCCATTATTGCCTCTCACGGCCCCCCCACCGGCCCCGTTTAGGTCATGGTTACACATGATGACATGCAAGGCAAAATGCTGACTCTGTGTGCCTCTCCCCCAGCCAGCTTCTGTCTACTCCAGGATCTGTTATCTTTTAGTTGTCTTAAAGAAACTCTCTCATCCCCTTTATTCTTTTAGTTCCTCTCCTACAGCTATATTATGTTTTCTTGCAACATGACAATGAGAAATGTAGGCAGTATTCCAGAAGTTGTTTCACAATTCACTTTTTACCGGCAGAATCGTGTGTTTATGGCCCATTTCCTCTATATTTAGATGACACGATTTTATCAGATGTAAATTTTGTTCTTGTCCATCAACTTAAAGTATTTATGGTGGAGGTGAGATTAATTTTCTTTTCTATTCTTGGAGACTCCTTTGCCCAACCAATAGACTGAAAATAGGATCAACAACAGATTCTGGCGAGACCTTTGTACCTTTTACTCAAGAATTTCATAGCTTTCTAAATCAAATGATGTAATGAAAGATGGGCTTTATCCATTCTCCCTGGACATTATGATATAAATAAAGAAAACGCAGACTGAAGCCAGACAGACCCAGGCTTGAGTCACAGCTCTGCTACTAATTCACTCGGTGACCTTCAGCAATTTAGTAATCTCTCAGAAATTTGGCTTGCTCATCTGTACAATGAATTCATAATAATAATCACTATCTTGCAGGATTAATGTAAGGATTAGAGATGATATGTGTTGAGGACCTGCCATACAATAGGCATTCAATAAAAGGGTAGGAACATGACTATTAGGTTAAAAGTAAATACAGTTTTTATATTTACTGAGATGGCTGAGAAGAATGACTCTCCATGCTCAACTCTCAAGATGTTTTATGATGTAAGCATCTGCCCATGAAGAATTCAGAAGTCACTGCCTTCAGTAACTTAGGAATGATATCTATAATTTTTCAGTTAGTTTAAAATTAGTAATTAAAAATGAAGT